CCATTGAAATAATTATATTCAAGATATTTGAGGGAACACTTTGTACATGCCTGAAACTTTACCGAGTGCATGGATATTCGACAAAAAATATTAATATTCTTCTATGGAATACATCGTTCGGAAGTCTTGATAGAATCACACCCTTTCCTTGTGTTGGTACCGTTTTGAGTTTTGTAACTTTATTGATAGCAAATCACTATAGTATAAAATAAATATTTTTATTAGTAATATAAAGAAACTTGATAGGCACGTAACAACCCTTTTTCGGAATTGTAGACCTTATCAACAAGAAACCCTTTAGATTGCATAAATTTTTGTGACTTTTCTCAACATTTTTTTTTCACTAAAAGGTGGGATTGAGCCACCAACATTTTTTTTTTTTAACTAAAAGGTGGGATTGAGCCACCAACATTTTTTTAGCCGATCCGAAGTTGAGCAACTTCACAAAAAGCAACCTAAAAGGTCTAAATACTACTAAAAAAAATAACTACCTGTTTATTTTTATTATTTCAATATTTTCTATTTGACGCGTATTGTCTTGACATTATATGAATTGAAAAAGTTGAAAAGTAAGCGAATTAAACAAATAGAATACGTACGCATTTATATTTTTTTGCATGCATAAGTTACGTCTATGGTTACACACTGTTTATTACCATGCATAAATAAATTGTCTGCACGCGTGTTCAAATTTGTCAATTTAATGCAACAAAACATGCAAATTCACGCGTTTGTGTAATGAGATGATCATCATATGATCCGGACCTAACAATGCTACGCATTTTCCTAGTAATTATTAAAAATACGTATATCATCAATATTACTGTATTCGATTATGACGAAATAAATAGCTTACTGGCAAATTTTTTATCAGGTGTTTCAGAAGTTATGATAATACGTACGTAGCTGTAAAACTTTCGTGATTTTTTGTAACTCAGGTGTAGCATAACACGATCAGGGTTATCATATGGGCTAATATGCGTAATAATGCACGAGAGAGAACCTCAAAAATTTTTGATACACATAGTCGGACAGGTTATTTGACAATACAATTGTCTGAATGACTGGGGCGGAAGGTTTATTTTGACCATTTACTCATAACAATAACAAAGTCAAACAGCGTATCGTAGTAGGTCCAGGCTAATAATTAGACGATAATCTAATGGGTTTTAAGATAATCTAATGGGTTTTATGCATTTTCATTAAATCCTTCTTACAGAATCGTGCAGAATAGACCCTCATTAAATCAAAACAATCACCCTAAGACTTCGTCAGACCAATCAAAAAAAATTAAACAAGGGGTTTAAACTAAATTTAGTGACTCTATTCAGGGCCCAATATTCGAAAATTAGCCCATATGTGATAATACGTACGTACGTACGTACTGTACGTAGCTGTAAAACTTTTGTGATTTTTGTAACTCAGGTCAGTGTGTAACCATAGACGTAACTTATGCATACAACTAAAAAATATAAATATTCTATTTGTTTAATTCGCTTACTTTTCAACTTCTTCAACTCATACAATGTCAAAACAATACGCGTCAAGTAGAAAATATTGAAATAATGAAAGTGAACAGGTAGTTATTTTTTTTTAGTAGTATTTAGACCTTTTAGGTTGCCTTTTGTGAGGTTGCTCAACTTCGGATCAGCTAAAAAAAATGTTGGTGGCTTGGCTCAATGCGAAAAAGAAAATGTTGGTGGCTCTATTCTACCTTTTAGTGAAAAAAAAATCTTGGTGGCTTAATTCCCTTTTAGAGAAAAAAAAAATGTTGAGAAAAGTCACAAAAAATTAAAAAAAATTTATGCAATCTAAAGGGTTTCTTGTTGATAAGGTCTACAATTCCGAAAAAGGATTGTTACGTGCCTATCAAGTTTCTTTATATTACTAATAAAAATATTTTATTTTATACTATAGTGATCCGCTATCGATAAAGTTACAAAACTCAAAAACGACCAACACAAGGAAAGGGTCTGATTCTATTAAGACTTCCGAATGATGTATTCCATAGAAGAATATTAATATTTTTTGCCGAATATCCATATCCATGCACTCGGTAAAGTTTCAGGCATGTACAAAGTGTTCCCTCAAATATCTTGAATATAATTATTTCAATGG